GATGGATTTTGACCCCCGGTTGCTCACTGCAAGTGGTGTGTCTAGCAAACAGGCCTGATGTACCATGGCTTTTGAATCATATATTGTCTTCCCAAGAGTGAGCTTCATGCCGGTACTGGTCACTTGTGTGGCCTTAGACCCCGGAAACGCCGCCTGGGGGCGACGTCGACATAGATTGCCAGCCTGGCCCATGGATGAAAACAGTGTCTCAAGGTCGGTGCAACTCCACAATGTGTGATAGATTCCCACAGCCATCTTCACTGGAACATAGTTTCGATTCGTGTCGATTCAGTTTCAACTATTCTTTTGGAGAATCTTTCGTGCCAGGTGCCCTAAGAAGTCTTTGTCATGCAGGGGCTCTCAGTAAGCTCCTCAGGTTCTCGCAGCCTTACCATGCACTTTAGAACTATCATGGTCCCCTTCTGCTCAGGCAAGACGTGTTCTGGGCCTATGGATCAGGACGACGATGGGGCAGAGTCATCTGCTGACTCAGACCTGGCGGATGAGTTGTTCCAAGACTATTTGACCGGGGTTCCTTGATAAATTACAGTACGTAGAAGACTCCGAGGTTGATAATATTCTTAGGCGGCGATAGATTGACCTATCGAAATATTTCGATGTTTATTGTCCTAGTCACTTTCACTTGCAAACCATGAGGCTGAATCTGCCAAGAGAGCAAGCAAGCTTGCGACCATGATTTGCAAGGTCCGCAAGAAAGGACCCTTGGTATCTTAACGCATCCATACCCTTTTCAACTTTTACCCTTCAAGATTGGGTATCTTTTAGATGAAAATCAATATGGACCCTCAAATCATCCAGGAAGAAAAGCCGACTTGCTATGGAAAATATCTCGGGCTGGACAATCAGCGGCCAACGCTTGTCGAAACCTGCACAAGTTGATCAACAAGAACAACATCTTGTACCCTGTTGAAATTTCTTGTGGGCTGGTACGGGTCGCATTCAGGAAGCCGGAGTATCGAACCGAACAGGTGTACTGGCCCTTCCTGCGGATGCAGGCCTGGGTGAAGGCCTTGTTGGATGAGTCGCCCTGGATGATACTGGCAGGCCATGACCTGTCTGAGGTTTCGGAGTGGCAATCTACATTTGCCCATTTCTGGTCTCTTTATCGGTATGTGAATGGGGGCCATTGTATTTACCAGGATGGCCATGATACCCGAACTTGCATCCCATACTTCTTGCATGGGGACGAAGGGCGTGGCTATTGTCGCAGACCATTTATGGTCGAAAGCTTCCAGCCAGTCATCTCCCATAAAGGTTCAGACTACACAAATGAGAGTGGGTACCTTGGCGCTCTTGTTGCTTCAAGTTTTTTCTTCTGCACTCAGCGCCAACAAGATATGAATAATAATACAGTATAACAATCGTTATCAATCTTTGTCAAACATGAGGCACAGCTTGACGACGAGATTCTTACTTACTTGCATCTCTTCCTATTTCTTTGATGAAGGTAATACCTTGGATGACTTGCACCAGTTCATTGCTGCTGATGCTGCATTGCTGTACAATGAAGGAATCACAGCCCCTTCAACGCATGGTAGATGTGTGTTTTCTTTTTACAAAACCTCCAAAACAACATATCTCCTCCTTTTGATAATTTACTGCAATCGATTGAGTTATCTCAGGTTGGCTCGACTACACTGCGGCTGGTTTGCGTGGGATGCAAGGGAGATTGGCCTTACTTGAGGAAGGATTCATGGCAAACATTTGGTCATGAATTTGCTTCCCCAAAACCCGTGATCTTGTTGAGGCCTGGTGATTTAGGGTGCGATGAACTTATAGTTAGCTTGAGCCGGGGATTTGACTCCTATTTGTTCTGGTGTGGCCTGGTTCATGCTCAGGCTTTCCACTTGAATTGTGGGTTCAATTGCCTTGAAAAGTGCCATTTGTGCGACGCCACCAATTGGGAAGACATGTCTATGCAGGCCCCATGGAGGCACACCATTGGACCGAGAAGGACCAATTCGCCATATTGGGTTGACCCTGGTGACATCCCTTTGCTCCAAATACCTGGCATGGGGCAGGAATCCATCTTGCCAGATTCCTGTCATTGCTTCCACCTAGGGTGGGGGATTGACTTGGCAGCGTCTGGCCTCATGGTTTTGGTCAGGCGTCAATGCTTTGAAGGTCGATCACTTGAAATACGATTGCAAATGGCATACAGGTCTTTCACCCGGTGGTGTCATGAGAACAAAAAAACGACTGGAGTTTCTTGGTGGTCGACCAAAAAGCTTGACATGCAATCGGCCCTTTGCTTTGCAGAACCTAACATTTTGAGATCAATGGTTTAGTGGATTCTAGTGGAGTTAATGGGGGTCATTTTAAATATTGTGCATCCAATTTAAACTTGCTCGCCACAGCCCAGGCAGAATGATTGGCCAACCTCGCTGGGATCGTGCAACTCCAAAGCGTACGACACGGCCTTGGTGCTCCAGTGGATGGAGGATTTCTTGCAGGGATATGAATCTGAATCTGAATTCTTTTTGAACGTTATTGAGGTTTATGTGTGTAGGGGGTTGACGATAAACCATACCATGGACCATGACAAATGGGTATGCCGGATATGATTGTTTTCCCTTTTCGGGCAGGGGGAACCCTCAATATGGAGTGATCCATTCGCAAAAGATGCAGTTTGTTGGGCATAAGGATTGTAGCCATGATGATTTTCTACAAGGACTGAAGTATGCAGTGGCCACAAGCAACCTTTTCTTCAGAACTTTGAGGGCATGCGGCATCTTCATCATGGATCCGATGAAGTCCATACTCTACCATGCCGGTCAGGAGATGTATGTCTCTTGGATTATCTTTTCATTTGTGTGAGGAATTTGCCAAAAGAAGGCGACCCATTTTATTATGTGGGATGTTGCCTTTGGGGGACTAGAGCTGATGTCGGTTTTCGCGGTGTTACACCCATATTCAGGAAGCCTATGGGCACATGGCTGCCAAGTGTTTCGCTGAGGGGCTAAAGCTATTCAGACTGCGGCCCAAGATTCATTTCCAACAGCATTTGACATTGCTGATGGGGGCTGAGTCATCTCCAGTGGCTTTTTCAGCTCTGAGTGGCTGGGCTGGACTCCTTAGATCTTTTGGGGTTGAAGTTTGAACGGTACATGCTTTAAGGGGTTTGGATCTTAAGGGTCTTTTGGTACTTGACCCAAGCAACTAAGATTTCAGCTGTTGGGCGGATGAAGACTACATTGGAAAGATATCTCGGATAAGCAGAAGCTGCCACCCTTTGCTGTCATCCTACAGATGTATACAGAAGGCCCTTGGCCTTTATCGATACCAGTTCAACCGCCTCAAGCCTGAAGGTGGTTAAAACACCATCGATGCCATCGATCTTGGCTACCGGACCAGTTGTTGGAGAAAGCATCGCCGGATGATGTCGTCGAAGTGGTAGAGCAGGGCAAGGGAGTGGAAAGTCGGTGAAGGGCAGGGATCCCAACCAATTTTCAACCAAAACGTCCAGTTTTGGAGATAGCGACCAGAAAAGGTAGATCACTTGGGGTCGCCCACTTTTTATTGGACTTTTGATGCTCTAGGTATTAATATTCCAGATCTTTAAAAGAAATCATTTGAACAAAAATATTTTAAATATATTTATTTAATATAAAAAATCCAGAATTTCCAGAAATAAAGAATATATTTCTTAATTTAGAAATATTTTATTATAGAAAGAATCATTCCAGAGATCTAGAAGAAAACCTTTGGCATAGAAATATTTATATAAATATTCTTAATATAAATATATTAATTCCAAATATTAATTAAATAAACCTATCTATTTATTTAAAAGATTATTGTTTAGCCTAATTCCCAATATTCCCGAAACAATAAAATATATAAATCTATATCAATATATTTTAAATTCATACCCCCAACAATATCCATTCTCTAAATTTATTTACAAAATCAAAAATATGCAATTTAATCCCTATAATAATTATATCAAATATTTATTATATCTTAATTTAATGAATCTATTTTTCTTTTGCAACAAAATTACCCTTCTCTCATCCAATTATATTATAAAATTCTCCCCTATTTTTTTCTATCATCACAAAAAAAATTAATTCAAAACCAATTAAACATTATATAAATATTAATAAATTATATAATTATATATATCAAATAATTTAACAAAATCCTAAAGATAACAAAAAACATATTTTCATAATCTATCATTCTATATTTTAAATATATATGCATATATAATTTACGAATTCTTTGCTATATATATTCATTCATTCCTCCATCGATCAATATTTATTTTATTCGTCCGTATTAAATCCCATAATGTACGAAACTTGAGGCCGAGGGTAGGTGACGAAAGCTAGCAGGGGTGCATCCGGACTGGTGGGACATCAAGCGGAGTGAGGCAAATGCTCATGAGGTAAAACGTTGTGAACATGTAAGACACACAAACAGCAATGACACAGCCAACCTTAGAATTGAAGTCCCCGATAATTAAGGAAGCGTGGCTGGACTTTGCTACACTGTTCGATGCATCCGATGTGTTCACGAACCTGTGAGCTTGTTGAATCTGTTGCACCGTATCCCAAAACCTCCACGGAGGAGTTGAACCAGTGTGGATGCCATAAGAGGTGCCCAAGAGGTGTCCCAGAGGCAAAACAAAGCTGCTTGCATGATTTGTTTGGTTTCTTCTATCGATGTCGATGTCATGAACATGTGAGCTTGTTGAATCTGTTGCACCGTATCCCGGAGGAGTTAAGCCAAAGTGGATGAAGTTTTCACGTGATGCGGCGATCCCGAGGATTCCAGCCCCTCACTTGCTAAAGCAAGGACAACTCCAGCTAGCTGGTGCTAGCTTTCGTGATAATTCGAATATTTCAAGAGCCTCATTATAAGAAATAATCGCCCAAATACATAATTAATCCAATCTATCGATTTCAGCCATAAGAGATACATTTAATTCTTAAATGCATCATTGCGAATCAATATATATATATATATGTATTTTTTTGTTGTCCCTCCTTTGATGTATTTTGATGTGGCAAAAAGATCTAATTCTTCTTCTTCTTTTCGAGTTTCTTTTTGTAGAAGGCCAATTCCTGTGGACGCAGGTGGTCGGTCTCATTCGCGATTTGTTGGATTCCAAATCTGTTGTAGGATAAATACATTTGTATAAATGCAAAGAAGAAGAGCAGGCTCGTCGCTGCAACAATTCACTCAATGGATCCTTTCTGTTCCCAAATATGCAACTAATCTACATAAACATGAATCAATATCTGGGTACATCGTTACCTTCCGGAATACTATTTTCCTCAACAAGCAGGTTGTCCAAATCGATGTTTGTTGGGGTATGGTCACCACTACATTCGCTGGATAAGAACCAGATGAGACCGCTTTGCACCCTAAATGCAGCAACCATAAATCATAGCGGCTCCGGATGGTGTAGAGTTTTTCACCAAAAGTATCGTCTTCACAAATCCAAACATGCCGTCAAGAAGTTGAGACATTAATATGTAAATTTCTGGTTTGATTTGGTGGATTTGCGGATCTTGACCATGAACCTTTTAGGGATCTTGATGGATTTTTTTCTTTTTCGGGTCTGTAGACCGCAACCGCCCCACCGGACGATCGAGCGAGATCGTCCTCGCCCTCCAGGACGTAGCCATCCGCGCGGCCGCACTGCCCCGGACGGGAGGCGATGCAGGCTAAGAGGCGGCCACTCTGGAACCTGGAGACGCTAGTAGGAGAAACAATCGAAGAGACAACGGCAGACGTGAGTTGATTCTGGGAGACGTGAGTTCACATGAGTCTTCTGAATTCTTGGTTTGGTGAGGTGGGTTGGGTGATGTTCGTTGGTCCGCAATCGGAGTTCCAGACCATCCACGTAACATGTTGCCCACGTTGACCCATAAAACCTCCATCAACATCACCCCAACAGATCGGAACATTGTTCCATCCAGTACAGGGATTGTGTGGGAGTGTTCACTATTTGTTGCTTTTTCTTGCGGGGGCCGAGGCGAACTCATGACCCCTTCAAGACCGGCTATTGCTGACCTAGTGACATACTTTCAGCCTCAACAAAAAGAGAACTAACTATTTGTTTGGGGGTTGACATCCAACTGACTCTCTACACTGACATACTTTTGAGCGAAGAAGGACATCCGTCGCGCCGACACGGAGATTTCATGCAAGAGACTGCTCCTCCAAGCCAATGTCCTTGGATGAGGCTCTGGGCTGGACAGCACATGAGGGTGAAGAATAGGAAGTGAGCTATTAGGCTATCACTATGTATGCATGGCTTTGCGGCATTGCGTGTTGATGAGATATCAGCCTGGAGTGGAGCGAAGACCATCCCAATTCTTCCGGACTAGGACCATCTGTTGCTTATGGTCACCATCCAAAGCTCCAGGATGACGATGGTAGTCTGAGGTCTTTCAACATGCACCCCCAAAGAAGTGTCAGGGACCTCAACAACTCGGACATGTGTTTCTTCCGTCTCGCTTCCAGGGCGTTTAGTCCCAGGAAGCGTCTTCGAGCAAAAGGGACCTTTCAACTGCACCTCTTAGGATATCTCAGGATCGACCAAGGATGGATTGAACAATAGCCTGACAGCCTGGAGGCGACAGACAGCAATGTGGAGGAGGAACAGGTTCCAAAATGGTGCCGAAGATGACCCTCAAACAGGGACTGGGACTGCTACATATTGGTTGAGATACTTTGAGACTCCAAGTCTGCTGGGGTGAGTAAATCCGACCCACGTCTCAGCCGCCAGCAACTTGCACCATGGCTCCAGCTTGGTCTTGGAGGCCCTGGCCTTCTGCTTGAAGATCACCTGACGACCAATATTCAGGTGTGGAAGAGAGATCCTCCAATGGGACCGTGGTTCCAAAGGAAGAGAACTTCCGAGGCCAATGGATCTTCCAACACCTGGTTTCAAAAAGACTCTCGCCTGGAAAACCAGATCTTCATCCCCGGATCCCGAGTACGGCGAGCTTGACCTGGTGGATTGGAGGCCATGGTGGCCATGAATTTGAAGCACCAGATCTGGGAGAGCCAAACCTCACAGCCTGGCCACCAGGGAGAGGAAATGACGACGTTTTTGAGAATTTCACGTGCCTCTCCAAGATGTCCAAAAAAAAGGCACCCAGAAGAAGCCTTCTTGGATCCCGAAAAAGTAAAGTTCTCCAACCGGCTCCTCCACCTGCGAAGCCCTAGAGGCCCTCGAGGTGCCAAGTGCCAAGGACGAGGACTTTGGGACTTTGGATGAGCGATTGCAGATTCCAACGTGGTCAAGTCCTTCTGCTTGGTGTTTCTTTGCAACGACTTTTCTGTTTTGGCTTGACCATGCTTGACCTCTATGTCCCTAACATCCTCATCCCTTTCCCTGGAAAAGAGGGATTCACCATAATTCACCTGTTCTGGAGGGAAACGACAGGTTCTGTCAATACAGAACACACCTGGGGTATCCTTCCTGAATCCGACATGGAAGTGGACAAATGTTTGGCATTTGGAGTTGGTCTTTCCAGGGCTCAGGCCATCCACTTCCAGGATTCTTTCCGGAGGGTCGCCATGTTCGGAGTCGCGCGTCGCGGGGTTTGCGTCACCACTGCGCTCCATCCATCCCCTGCAGCCAGGTCACGTGGCGAGAACGCTTGGTCTCATCCTCAGCCTTCTCCTGCGAGTGAGACACGGTCACCCGTCACCCGGTCGGTAGGGTCAACAAACATCGCTTCACCCGTGATACTGTACGCTACCTGCGAAACAGGATCACGACAGAAACACCTTCATGTCGCATTGGCGCATGTACTGGCGCATCTCCTTTCAAGATTCTGAAACAGATGGGATCCCAGCTTTCAACCGACCTTTCAGATCAAGCTGCGACACACCCAAACAGCGAGGCAAACACGACCGGATGTTGTCCCTCACCGGGATACCACATCGGGAGGTGCTTTTTTGCATCACTCCAAGACCAGAGTCCGACCCAGAAGCATCTTACATAAGGACTCTGACCAGGAACTAATCATAAAACACATGTGGCTCAGAAGGCTGTTTCTCAAACAAAGAGGTCCAACAAACCGCTGGTGGTTGATGTTCCTGTCTATACAGCGGTCTTACTCTACTATGTCTTAAGTCTATAGGGGGCCACCTACTTGGTAGGGCCTTAGAGTTGAGGAAAGAATGGAATATATAGCGTTACATTTCTTAAAACATAGACATAAACAAAAGGCAATCTTGCGCTACAAGCAGTTGTGAAGTGCTTGCCATCTTTGTTGGATATTGCAGTAGTTAGAGAAACACTCAACCAAGTCTCCTCCTTCTGTGCACCCTTCTTCTTCTTGCCGACATCCATACCATATTTCCTGGAAGCTGCTCGGGTTCTGAATCTGTTTTTGACTCGACACTGCTTGCCAGCTTGGAGGTATGAAATGACTTGTAGACATGCCATTCAAGTCCCCATGCCTTACTACGTACATTCCATCTCTTCGCTCTTGTGCACGCATCCTTTTACATCATCACCCGATGGGTCGGACATGGTCAAGACATCACCCTGGTCACCAATCGGCTGTCTGAAAACCAATGGGATTTTCTGGGAGGTCTATTTTCGTTCTCTCACCAATCACTTACCCTCCCTGCAACGAAACATACTAGTGGACTTCACCGCCACCATCCGTTGGTCTGAACATGGTCTTTCCAGGGGCCATCCACGTTGGCCCATGAGCACGGAGGGAAGGTCGATGGCACAACGACTGCAAGGTTTCTGATAGATGGGGGTCCATCATTGCACCCAACTTGGGGAGGCTGGTGCAATCTACTCTCTAACATAGTTTCAACACATGTCAACGACCACTGTTCACACCACCCAACGACCACTGTCCCGAACAGCTGGATGGACCGAACCGCCGCGAGCGAGGATTCGAGCTCAGGCTCTTCAAGTACCACTGCATGAATGGATGGGCATCAATCTGCACGACGGTGTTCTTCAGCAGTGTCTTGGTACGGACCTGGGCCATGTTTTGAGGACAGAGAGGACAGCTCGCGTGGCACGGCCGCGGGCGTGGCGCGGAAAGAATGCGAAGACTGAAGTCCTGTGTATGGACACACGTTGCGCAGGAAGAACCAGTGGAGTTGACCATGTGCTCAAGAGGGCAATTAGCAGCTTAGCAAGCCTTCAACCCGATGGTGTTTTAGCTGCTGCAGCTGCTCCTTGAGGGGCCCAGCATGAAGGATTTGTAATCAATTTTTCAGGTTTGTGTTTGGAGATCTTTGGAGGTCATGAAACATGATTCACACGCGTCACCTGAATTGGTCAGAATCACATGACCAAGTGGTTTGCGGGCTGGATGAGGAAAACCATGGAACACCAACACTCACAGTAATCGATCGTCTTTTCAGTTTTCCGGTAAATCCCAGGTGCTGTAACAAACACGTTCCACAAACGTTTTCTATCGTTTTCTACCCTTCACCTGGTTGCGCTCTAACTCAGCTTTGGCCTTTCCGCTGCCCAAAGCTTCTTGCTTGGAGCTTTCTGGTGGTCCAACAGTGTCGCAAAGCCAGCAAGCACAAGCGGATTTCCTATTCACAGGAGAACCCATCACCATTGAATTGCCAATCTCGTACATCTCTCCGACCTCTTTTCCCCACTTGGAACCATATCGTATGACCCAGGTGACCGGCAACCTCTCCCTTCAAGCGGACCACGTCCGGGTTCTGCTTTTAGACACCACGTCCGACTCCTTCCGATGTACCGGTTCACCCTGTGGATCCGTGGATCAAACACTCCAAGTCACGAGCTCGTTGCTGGTGGCGTTGTAGACCACATCCAAGATCCTCACCTTCTTGGTCACATTCTCCTCAGCGAGGCTGCGAGGAAGAACAAAGGGCGCCGTTCGTTTTTGGTTGTTGCCCCGAGACCGCACAGATGTCCGTTTGGCCGCGTGAGAGGACACACACGGAGCTCTTTTGCTGTTCTTTTCTGGGAGATTCCTTGCGTCTATTCCATCACCAGGCCTTTCTCAAAGATAGTGATAATCTATGATAATCTTTCTACTGCCAATTGCTGGTCATGGGCCACACCCTATAGACCTTAGATACAGTCCCTGCGGCCGAGCATCAGAGCCCCAGGCATAGTTGCCGCTGTCCAAGCGCAAGGCACGGTACTTCCTGAGTGGGAGGAGCAGTGGAGCCGCCGCCGCTGGGCGAGCCGCAGGGCTAAGACGTTTGAGTCAGGTGGAATCCCATCGACGGTTGCTAATGCTTCTAGGGTATGCTGAAATACATAGACTCTAGGATCAAACTATACAGTGATCATTTTCCTGTATATATATATATATTGGGTGTGTATTGGAAGGGGGGTACCTATATATATATATATTGCCTTTTCTCTCGTTTTCTATTGCTGTTCCACATTCATCCTCTACTGGTTGGGATTACTACCGTGGATGCCCCACGGCGCCCTGGTGGCCAACCAAGGAATGGGAAGAAGCTACATCTGACCAAACCTATGACATGTCTCTCATGCCTCTCTAAATTCAATTCAATTCATATTAGTATGTAAAAAAACACATAAAATAACACATACAATAACGATTCTATAATATCTGTTCTATGATAGTCCATGATGTTTCGACCAAATCAGTCGGTCTCTCCTTTTGCCCGCGCCGTCGACCCCCTCCGCACCCCGGCCCAGGCACATGTTGCCGCCCCGGCAGCGCACGCGGCGCACACGCTTGGCGCCCAGCTTGCAGGGCGTGGCAGGGCGGCCCATCTCCTTGGAGTCTGGTGGGCAGTAGGATGTCTGAGTCGTGCATGAGACCGGCACCGGGGGGAGCGAGACCGGCTTCAGGTTGACATGTAATTCACAACCCCAAAACCCATATACATGGAAACACACATGTCATAGGGGTGCCGTTTTTGGAGGGATCACCAGATTTCAAGAGACATGTTGAGAACATGGTGCTCAAGGGCTCTCAGGTTCTCAGGTTTGAGGTGGTCCGTGGGGGTTCACATGTTTGCATTGTGCTTTCAAAGGCGGGTGGAGGGGTGATCAACCACTTTGTATGGCAGGACTGTCGATCAAAGGCTCCCCTCGTCGCCAAAGTACCAGGACTCTACAATCACATCCTAGATCCTACAATCCTAGATCTGAGGTGAATGATAGGAAATGAGGTGAATGATCAGATCTAGGGGGGATTCTAGGATTAATTTCTAGATCTGAGGTGAATGATAAGGGACCGATAAAATTGTTGAAAAAGAACTCAGATTAGCTGGCCAGTGATTTTCGGCCCCGTGGGGGGCTCCTCAATTTGTAAGGGGACCCCATGATCCTCCGGGCGAAACGAAGAGGCACCGGACTGACTTGACCAAGGCCGCTAAGTCGGCCCAGACCATCATAGGTCGGCCCACGCATGTAGGGTGATAAATGGGGTACTGTAAAAGCTGTAAATGGATTTATATATCATATCCATATTAATCCACTACCAGTCATAGTCATTCACTGTGAATGATGATATGATGATGGTGAGCAGCTACGGCCCTTTCTCACAACTACATCGTGATAACTGATAATGATTTTTGGACCTACCATTGTACCCAGTGTTACTGGTCATGGGCTACATGTAGCATGTGTATGTCGCATGGGACCTGGACCTGGTCCGGACCTGGTCCCGATGCGTCCGGGTCTGCGAAGGCTGGGGCCGACCTGTGTGGGGAGGCCTCCCTATTTAAGAGACACATCCTAAACGGACCCATAAAGGACCCTGGTACTGACCAAGCAGGTGTTGGTGAACTCGATCCTTTTCCGAAACCGGTTTCGAAAACGAGCCATAACTCCATAACTGACATGCCATAACTCCATGTCACCATGTCTTTCTCCCTTGCACACCTATCTGAACATATCTATTGCGACCCCCAAACCAGTAGGTTCAAAGCAATTTGTTGCCCTTTCTTTCCCAGGAGGCTCAATGAGTTCAACTAGGTAGGTCTCCCTCCTTCAATAGCACCCATCTTCCAGGTCTCGTAGCACCTGGGCACTCCTTTTGAGGATCACACCGAATCCGGTCGACCTGTCAATGAACCCATCAAGCAGGGAATGGAACTCCTCTTGGAGGAGTCCCAATTTTCCGACTACTCCCAGGCATCAGCTGCCCATAGGGTGCCAGATTCATCAGGTTCACTTTACCTCTCAAGAGAGCCCAGAGAGGCACTGCCAGGCACGAGGCACTGCTTCTTTTGGTCTCCTCTCCCAGATTTTTTCCAGGCACACCCTCTCACCCAGAAGAGTCTTGCTGCGACAAGGCTCATACTTACGCTTCTTGATGGAAGTCTTGCTGCGACCGCCGGTCTTGTAGTGCTTGTGTCGGCTGTCGCGGCCGATGCCCATAGCGTCTTCGTCCGGGGTTCGAGCCGGGGTCGTCCGTCGGTCTTCGGGAGGGAAGCAACTTGAGCCTGGAGCGGCGATGAAGCCCGGTCTACAATAGACTCAATAGACAACTAATAGACATTGCACGGCTTTTTTTGGAGCTGACCACGAGTTTTCTCTCGGAGGACGATTGACTATCCAAAAGATTCTCAAAGTATCCACTGGTCATGTGAGCACTAATGGGAGACTGAAGCGATTGCTGAGCTGAACAATAACGATTCACATCACCGCTCAAGGACCAAGCTGAACTTCCACAAAACCCACTCCGAACGGAGGCAGCGGCTGTACTCGACAGGACATCTCAACAAAAACGCGGCTGGTCACAGCAGGGCGCCGCACTCAGCCGACAGATGTTTCACAGCTTCCCACTCTCTCCAACAGCCGAGATGGGAGGACACTGGTGAACGCCCGGTCGATAACGTCTGATCCAGTGAACCCTGGTCCAACTGACATCCTTAAGCAGTGTTTTGAGGTCATTGACCGGGCATGGTTGGAGCCCAATGAGCCGGCATGAGCCGATCTGAGTCAAATTAAATGCTGAAGAAGACAGGGCTGAAGCAACCTGAAGTCTGTGGGCCTCCCCTGCAGGCTACCCGAGATGATGTGTCCAGCTCCCGGCCGTGACACGGCGGGACAACCTTCATAGATGTTGGCATGGACAATCACAAGACGCCCAGTGAGCACAACGTAGCCCATGGTCTCACTGTCATCCACTTGGCACCAAGTGGGTTGGCCTCAAACGCCCTCGATCAGAGGACATCGGCACTATAGTATTCTAGCGCCTGTCCAGCTGGATCCTCAGGTAGCGCCCCACACCCGGCCAGCGGTGTGACAAGTGCTCGTGTTGGAACTATGTCCCAAGGTGCTAAAGCACTTGCTGGGTAGGGCGGAGAAGCACCAAAGCAGGTGGACAGCAATGCAACAACGGCAGCAGTATCAAACGACTGGCGTCGCTTTCAGACCTCAAGGATGAGGTCTGCGCTTGCTATCTCTTGCGACGTAACTACCAGGACATGACCCGAACAAAAAACGTTTCCGACGGTAGCACCCATTGTCCGACGTACCAACGGAGGGTTCTTTAGGGTCTGCCACGTCGGTTTTATTGGCATCGTCAGACTGTGCAACGAGACGCTTGTCGTCATGACGAGAAGTCAGTGAGGAACGGATGCAAGTTGAGCACCAATAATGTCCAAACGAGTCGTGCGTGCATCCAAACACACATATCATATTCATTGTATATATATATATATATATTGATCCATGAAAACAAAGGGAGCTCCCTCGCACCCACCGTGAAGGGATGGGTAAGATTCGACTGAAGACATCCAGGCAGAACACAAGGTCTCCATCTCTCCATCTTGCTGATACCCAAAGACGTGCGCCGAAAAAAAAAACAAAAAAACGACTCGAGACTCGAGTCAGTTGGTCTCCGTCGTCCAACGAGGTACCCCCCACATTCCAACCATGCACATGTCCGTTGGATTCTCCGCACTGGAGGGGGCGAGGACGCGACGGAGCATTCGCGACGGGGTTCGAACCCCAAGCAAACCCGGACAGATCCACCTGCAAGGTCAAATGAAACCAGTCGGAATTGATCTCATCCACAACTCACTGAACCATTGTCCATCCGAAACCTGATCCAAGCAACGCTGCATGGTTTTCCCACTACACCAAGAGTTCATGAGTCCGTCGATGCGTAAATCCGCGCTGCTCAGAACTTCATCTCATGAGGGAAGGTCCTTGCGGACAAAGAGAAGCGAGACTTCAAGTAGCTCTTCATGTCCTGAACCAGGCAAAGGCTGCAGAAAAAAGCTTGGCTTGAGACAAATGCTCTACAATTGCATCAGCACATATCAGCACACATGGCCTTGAAAGAGGATGCAAAAGCATGCAAAAGCCATGATCTGCCATGCGCATGAAAGAAACAAAAGAGTCTCATATCCCATTCATAATGAGTGCAGTCCTCAGCCAAGCCCTTGACGATGGGCTCATCCAACTTCTTCTGGCCATCCTTCTTCTCCTGTGGCAGCACCTTCTTGGGTGCCTCAGTGGCGAAGAACTTCTCCTGGGTCTGGGCCCCCTTCTTGGCCTTCTCCCGTGCGAAGTAGGCATCTGAGATGGACTTGAAGTCGGCTCCACCAAGGTTGACCTTGGTGCTGGTGGCAATGCAATAGCGCTGGTTGACGCGCTTCACAGGCACACCGTTGAGCGAATAGGGCCCGGTGACCAAAAGCAGGCCGCTCTCCAGCTGCTTCAAGAAAACTACTCGGCGACCACGGAACTTGCTGGCGAGCAGGATGAGCACTTGACCTGGCTGGATGTTCTTGCGCAACTTTGGGGTCTTCTTCTCCCCTGTCTTCTTCACCTTCACTGTCTTCTTGTTGCAGATCTTCTTCTGCTTGCTGCGCTGCTGACCGGCCTGACCCATGGCTTCTTGGCTTGTGTAGGTGGGGTTCCACGTCCCTTGAGCCATGTCCGCGCGAGCCGCAAACCAATCTGAGAAAGAATTTAACAGGTGCAAAGCATTGATTGGTCATTCTGTACATCGATTGTCCCATTGGTAGGATGGTTTGAGATTAGGAATAGTTCTCGAGTATGCTGCGAAGGACGATGAAGGATTCTTTCCATCAACTGTGCCACATCAAAGTGCATCTGTACTTGCTGGCCTGATACGTATTCCTAAAGTATTCTAAAACCAGCGAACAGAAAACATACAGTACACTTCAGGTCTTCCATCGCCAACATTTTTCTTCTCCTGCGCCACTGCCTCAAAGGTCTCTTAATCCGCGGGGACATGCTCAGAACTTCATCTCGTGAGGGAAGGTCCTTGCGGACAAAGAGAAGCGAGACTTCAAGTAGCTCTTCATGTCCTGAAACCGGCAAAGGAGGCAAACAAACAAAACAAAAAGCTTGGCTTGCAACAAATGCTCTACAATTGATTACAATTGCATCAGCACACATGGCCTTGAAAGAGGATGCAAAAGCATGCAAAAGCCATGATCTGCCATGCGCATGAAAGAAACAAAAGAGTCTCATATCATATCCCACTCACAATGTGCAGTCCTCAGCCAAGCCCTTGACGATGACCTCGTCCAACTTCTTCTGGCCGTCCTTCTTCTCCTGTGGCAGCACCTTCTTGGGTGCCTCAGTGGCGAAGAACTTCTCCTGGGTCTGGGCCCCCTTCTTGGCCTTCTCCCGTGCGAAGTAGGTATCTGAGATGGACTTGAAGTCGGCTCCACCAAGGTTGACCTTGGCGCTGGTGGCAATGCAATAGCGCTGGTTGACGCGCTTCAAAGGCACTCCGTTGAGCGAATAGGGCCCGGTGACCAAAAGCAGGCCGCTCTCCAGCTGCTTCAAGAAAACTACTCGGCGACCGCGGAACTTGCTGGCGAGCAGGATGAGCACTTGACCTGGCTGGATGTTCTTGCGCAACTTTGGGGTCTTTTTCTCCCCTGTCTTCTTCACCTTCACTGTCTTCTTGTTGCAGATCTTCTTCTGCTTGCTGCGCTGCTGACCGGCCTGACCCATGGCTTCTGTCTCTGTCCTTTGTCTTTGGCAGTGACTATGTCCCTTAGACCGTGGAGGGCGAAGATGAAGCACTGGGTAAAAGCACAACTTCCACGTACCCTTGTAAAAGGGTTTGGGCAATATGGTCTTGGGTCACTGGGAAGACGTTAAGTGTTCACCAGCTGTAGAGGGTGCCATGAAATTGAAAAGTACCCAAAAAGGGTCGGGTGACGACTGATCCCTTCATTCCGATGAGCGCCATCCAAATCCCTCCGAAAGCACTGTCTAGTCTGGTCATGAATCTGCTCAGTTGGAGGGGGTCTCCAAAAGCAAACATCGTAAACCCATACCTGATAAGATTGACAGGTCTCTTTGGAATCCTCAAGTCTCACAGATCAAGCCTGAACAAAGCTGCCTTCTCCAGTCAACACCCATCAAAACACAGCTAAACTTGGGCTGTTTCTATTGCTGGACACGCCTTTAGTTTGGCACCGAGGCTGGCTGGGTGGCTTCGCGGGCAGAAAGAAACCACAAGCGTATGGTTTTTTTGGGGGGCGAATCTTTAAGAGACTTCTGCAACAACAACTGGAGATGAACAAGCAACCATGGCTTTTCTTCAACAAGAAAATCTTTGGATGAAGCTCATTTTTTAGATTCATTGGGCCCAATTGGACACTGCTGGCAGGCCATCCGAGCTGCATTTCTTGACTTCTCCAAGTTCACACACACACACATCGAACTCCCCAAAAAGCCACCCCATCAAGTAGCACATCAAATCCTTTTTACTCTCGCTGGCGACGGACCGACTGTCCAATGGGCGATGCTCCCAGCGGGTGTTCTCTGGATCGCCAGAAGGTGTTTGGATCGGTCACAAGTCTGAATCCAATGAAATGAGACACTTAGTTAGACGAATGACATCTAATGACATCTAATGGACCCTGAAAACCACTGGTTAGGTAGGGGAAAGGAAACCATCTTCCAGGGAGCCATGTTAGTTTTCGGTCCATGTTAGGTTTCGGAAGGGGATTTTGTTAAAGTGGTGGTAATCTACCTCAAACACCTATTGTGGAGTAAAAGAACATCTTGCCAATCACTGGCAAGCCATCCATGTTGGTTCAGGAACTAGTCGGAACTAGTATCGCTTGAATGGGTTTCCCGGCTTCCAATTGGTCGTTTCTCTCTCGTTTTCATCACATGTCATGCTCAGCCTCAGCCTCATCACGTACCCAGACTTAGACGGTGTCCTTCCGGGGTGTCCGGTTCGGTGTCCTTGCTCCTGGCCCACCTCCTGAGAAGATGGTTGGGGTGGGTGCCAGGGGGGTCTAACCATCTTCTGAGGAGATGGTTGGAGCCCTAGGGATCCTTCGGCCTGCCCCAGACTCCGACGACGAGGTCACTAGAGTCACTAGAGGATCATCTGTGAGCAAGCAGTGACCATGCAACCAACCAAGCGGACGGGCACCCCTCACCTTTCAGACCGCTTGGCTTCGCCAAGCAGCGCCTAATTTGGACTGCGCGGCTGGCTGACCCGCGCTGACGGAAGAGGGCTTCGTTTTCGCTGGGAGGTCCAGTGGAGATGGGTCCAGGGTCTGGCGCCATCTGGTTGGGTGAGAGGCTCCGGTGGAGGCTGGTTGGGAAGTCCGAACATCAAAAGAAATCCACCAAAAGAACTCGCACTGGGAGGGGACTTTCTTACCCATCTTCGAACTATCGTGATGGATCGGACGTCGGTCACCTCATACGCCGACCACTTCGGCCCCGAAAACGAACGATGTCAATGGGACAATTCAAAGAGCAATTAAATAGGAAAACACCGAGTGATGCGTGGATGCGTGGATTTTGGGGTTCAGTGGACCGTCGGAAATATGTCTAGTGAAACGATTCTAGTCCGTCAGCTTGAAACTTTCAGGTTGGATGCAAAGCCCGTCTACGGCCCTACTGTTGATGTACGAAAGAGTGCACCATCTGAGATGATACGTTATATTATGTATATATATATACACTTACACGGAATATCCACGACTTGCAAATATCACAGGTGGTGTAGGGTATGTTCACCTGAACCTGCAATAGGAACCTCCATCCCCATGTGAAACACATTGAAATCGAATCACGATGGTCCTGCGTGGTGCAGCATGCTGCCCAGAGAGTAAGGTGTGAGAAACCAGGTCGCGGCTGTAGAGATGAACCCACCAAGCCATGCGGGTTCACACAAAAAGGGAGGGGTGATATGGAGTCATTCACTTACATATGATATATATAATATATATGGTATATATGGAACAACATTGGTAGAATACCTACTTAGATGAGCCTGTAAGCCTCTAATACTCTAAGTGGGAAGCGCACCCGTGCGGAAAGAGATGTGGACGTGGAAAGGCGCTCGCCAGCCCCCGCAAAGACTCGATGTGAGTGAAACTGGAAAAGCTCAAGTCGAAAGAGCCTCCGGTGGCACGGCGTGCGGGCGGTGTTGGGGTCGTGCGTTGGGAAGGGTTGGGGGTGAAGCCGAACGAAGCCAAACGGGGATGGATTGTCAAGGAATTCACAAACAATCCATGTATTGGAATACAAACATAAGTATAAGTATATAAGAGTATTGTGTGATATTATATACAGCATAATCAGCATACCCTGCAGCATATACAATAAATTATGCCAGCACCACTGCCAGCACCCTCCATACGGGGTCACCAACGCAAGCCCCCACATGGATCTCAATGGATCTCCAAACAGGACACCCCTTTTGAAAGGTCCAGGATATATACCTAGGGCAAGCAACGCAAGTCCAACCCCCCAAAAATGCCTTGTGCCAAAGTGTGAGACACATATTCTTTGGGTCTATCCATGTCATCCAGGGCCCGGATGATGATGGTTCAGTTGCAGGCCTTGTTAAACAAATAGTGAGTTCGGATAGACTCAAGGTATGACACGTATTGACATATGAGGTCCTTGGTTGGCTGTTGAACGTTGCAAAGATCTACAAACACCTTGGCCCAATATGTTGAAATACCTGTACAGTAACTACCTCCATCTCCTGAACTACAACGTTTTCTTCAACAGAAGAAGGGAACCACAAACACTCCCTAAATGACCCCGTGACGTGGCTTGCCGCTGCCCAGGCTGGCCAAATCCTTGTGGTTCATGACACCAGGAGACCGACCGGTTCACCTACCCACACGTTGGCTCCACCCACATGGTGGACGGGTCGGGCGTCGTGATAACAACGCCAACGGCACCGTAGACCGCCGGGCCTTTGGAGCCGTTCCGCTGAGGAATGCGTCCAACAGCTGGGCGAAGGAGTCTTTGTCGTTCACCGCCTGGACAGGGCGTTCTGGAGAAGTGGCAGCGGGTTGCGTGCTGAATCCTTCCACCAGAAGCCCGCAGCCCAGAGGCCACGCAACCACATGGGACACAATTAAAGGCGATGTTGTAGCCATGTCTTCATGTCATGTCTTGATCGATTTCGATAATATATAATATATAGTTGTTTTTCTAGATATTTTTAGATTACTGCACATTAGTTAATGCAAATTACAGATTGTCCCAGTTGCTTCACAGCAGGATTGTTGTTCAGATCACCTTGGTGAAAGAGCAAGGATCTTCAGGCCACTCATAGAGGTGATCAAATGTCCATAGCAAAGCAGGTGGAAGAATCCGAGGCCACCTCCACCCGAACACATCAGGATCTATGGAACTGAAGATGTTGATACCACCTGTTGATGCCACCTGCTCAACAGGAAAAAAACAGCTCACACAACACATCCAACGCGTGTCAGGTGCATCCTACAGGCGTTATTTTCAGAAAATGCAAGACGAACCTTAAAGGGCTGAAATCAAACAAAAACCTGGGACGTGTCCTGGCTGCACTACCCAGACCACTACTTAATTAGGGATCTCCAGACAGGATGGTCCAGGTAGGTGTGCTTCATGTTTCTTCCATCAGTGCATGATCTATTGGATCGACTAAACCCTGACTCAAAATAACTTTCCACGTCTGAAAATGACTGGGATATGATGTATCCTTCTCGTCCTTTAGTCTGCTTTGTTATCTCCCAACAGTCCTTCCAGTGGAGCAGAAGATGGTCACCCCAACTGGGTCTCCCTCACTGGCTCCAGGCAGAAGATGGTCACCGGGCTCGCGACGCCCATGCCTCGGGGTTCCGGACCAAGTGATGCGGTCCGGTGACGGGCACGGGACGTCGCGCCCCGGGACCATGGAGGGGAAGAACTTGATGCGGAATCATTGCTGGTGTTCATTCTTAGAATAGACAAACACGTTGTGGAAACATTTAACACTAAACTGACAAGCACAGTTATGCGACCATATGCGACCTCTAAGACACTGGCAGCGGTTTGAGGCGGTTTGTGGGTGACCATCTGCATACCCTGGAAAGCTGGCACCATAAGTTGATTTGATGCCAGGAGATAGCAGGACGGGGTGGCATGCGTTTGTTGTGAAAGAAATGGTTCGAGGATCTTCGGGGCACACCCGACCCGACCAGGCAGACCACACCGACCAGGGGGTTCAACACCAGCACCCTACAGTTACGTATACGGGGATCTCCATGCTCCTTGGCAGGTCAACGCGTTGGTTTCCTCCAAATGCTATTCCAAGATCCGGGGCACTCCGACTGCTGCGAACTGCCGCGACGGCTTTGTGTGGCACAACCCGTGCACCATGACATGATAGAAATACGAACGAACGATATACGATAAGACAGGTGAAAAACAAGCGTTGAAGGAATTCACCAAAGGCAGATCATATCCCGCTATTTACAGCTTTTGCTATATCCCAGCTGGTGCACGATTTGTTCAATCAAAGTATATCGGATAATTAATGCGCAGCGCTTGTGTCATATGCATGAAATCTGCTGGGACCTCCCACGCACGAAAAGGCTTCCATGACGCTCTCTTTTAGCTGCATCAGTTCCGAATTCCAAACTTTCAAGCATCCGCTACCAGCGTTGCTTCGACTCCTTCTGGTCTGAACTTGTCACAAACCACCGCGATAAGGTACAATGCAACGTATTCGACCAAAAGCCACAGCTGCCAAGACGAGGACCACTTTGCATCCACAAATGAAATGGATTGGATGAATGGGATACTTATCGCAAGAAAAGGCACCATCATGTACGTGGAAACCGCATGGCTCGACTGGCTGCCACAAGCAGAAAGCGAAGGATCAGAGTCATGCACCACACACAAATACCATGCTGCAAGAAAGACCAACATGAAAAAATGAAATCGAAACTCTATTTGATGTAATGCCTCCTCACCGGACATCAATGCAAAATGACCACTGTGCGCCAGAACTAGGGACAAAGAACAAACAAGGCCCCACAAGAAGACTGTCCGTCTGCGTGTCTGATCGCTGGACCTGTCACATAGGTTGGCGATGACCGCAAATCCATGATTGTTCACAGAAGCGGCTGCAATCGCTAATACCCAGCTGACGGCAGCAGCAACCCAGTCCTGCTCTTTGACGACTTCACCGAAGCCAAGTACACAGAAACAGGAAGCTCCCCAACCACCGAACGCATACTTGGCCATCGCCCACCACACTCCACGCAAGCGCGTCATGAAAGTTGAGCCGCATCGAGCATTCGTGGAATGTTGAGCTTGGCCATTTTGGCACGTCATTGCCAATGCTAAGAATGAGAGAGCAGGTGGCATAGCAAGGCGAGTGGCATATTGTTTATGGACAACGCCCAGAATCCACAAGAAGAGGAGCAGGGCATGAATGAAGAAAGCAACCAAAGACATGATGGGCAACCAATAGAACCTCAAGATCTCAAAATCTGAGGGGACAAATTCAACATCGCTGCTGCAGTTGGACGTTTCATCGTTGTCTTCCTTGGCCAATGTATCGCTTGACCCAAGCCGGTCAGTAGATCCCAAAAGCACTGGCAAATCCGAAGGGAGATCACCTGACTGGCTGGTGATCGACAGCAACGTTGCTGGATCAAGTGAACGAAGCAACATTAACATGAACAAAATCTATACGCTGCTACATGGCCTCCTACAGGAGGGTCTACCCGTCCAAAGGCCGAGACATAGCACGTAGTCACACAAAAATCAATCAATCAGGACATACTGTGGACACCTTTTGGTGAATTATGTGCATCTACCCCGCAGCTCACTCTTGCACCCTGTGTTGATGGGGTTTGTTTTGACTCTTCGATCCACGGCCTAGGATGGGCTCGCGGGTTCCTGGCCGCAGGGTTGAGCTGTTCAGAAAGAGTCATGTTGGCTTTGTCAGAAACTTGAGGCGACGGTGGTGGACGAAAGGTAGAGGCTGGAAGATTCTGAGCAGGAGCAAGCAGCCAGCAGCAAAGCAGCAGCAGCAAAGCAAAAAGGTAGCACCAGCACCAGCAACAGCAAACGAGCAGCAGCAGCAGCAGCCAGCAGCCAGCAGCCAGCAACCAGCAACCAGCAATGGCAGCAGCAGTAGCAGCAACGAGCAGCAACGAGCAGCAACGAGCAGCAACGAGCAGCAACGAGCAGCAGCAGCAGCAGCAGTAGCAACAACCACCAGGAGTAGCAGCAACCAGTGGGAGTAGCAGCAAGCAGCAGCTGCAGCAGCAACAAGCAACAAGCAGCAAGCAGTACAGCAAGCAGCAACCAGCAGCAAGCAGCAAGCAGCAACAAGCAGCAGCAGCCAGCAATAGACCACAAATAGACCACAGTCGATAAGCCAGATCACTCCTAAATTCTGAGCGGCGCACCCCCGACATTTAAAATTCCTATAACCGCCAACCACCCCTAATATCGTATTGCTAAAGCAAAGAGAACCCAGGTAGCTGAAGCTACCTTTCGTGACATGAAGTAAGAAACCGTTTTTCACCCTGCCTGGCCGCATATCCACCCACGGCCGCTGGCAACTCACACTTTTGGCCGCTGCTTTGAAGATCTCCGAGATTGGTAACTTGTAGGGCAAGAGTTGGAGCAGTGCTGCGGTGAGTGCGCCTGATGTTGGGGCCCAATTCTGGAAACGAGGCAAAGATTGCTGTGGTTGGGGTCAAACATATGTCAAATGAAAGGGGCAAACTTCAAAATATCTCAACATAAAGTAATAACGTGGACTCGACAGTCAGATGATGTGATGGTCTATTGGATCTATTGATTTCTAGATGCAATTTGCCAGCGCGTCGATGGTCTGGCATGGGGTATATCCCCAACAACAGGGGAGGGAATTGGATCCTTGGATATCGACGATCTCCGCTGATGCTCTACTTTCGTCAGACTCGTGTGAAGGAACTTGCCTTCGATTCCAAACAACCCATGGAAGCATTTTGGTCCAAAATTTTGGTGTTGAATGTACGTCATCTGGGATTAAAATACTTTGCCGCTTTGCTGGCCTCCTTCTTCCGATTCCCTCGCTGATCGTCCTGGATCACAGGCAAAGATGTGGTAAAAGTCATTCCGCAACGTTGGGCTCATCTTGCGGTAGTTCGGGCCCCGGGAAGCTATCCATGTGTCGTCTTCCACAGTCTTCCTGCCTGATCACTATCAACATCGATAACATAAAACCTGGAATTTCCACCGCTTTCTGGCACATCCCTACAAGGACTGGGCTCTGAGCAAACTGTCGACCACACCTCGTCGTTGAAATCATTTACAAACCTCGTCGTAATGTTGAAGTACAATTCAATGACCGCCAAAACCAGTTTCACCTTCCGATTTCGTCAAGTAAAAGCATTCATGATGTGGGCCATGCAAGCTGCAGTGACATGAAATGATCACCACGCGCAAGCAACCGGGCCGCTGTGCTCGGATATTGTTTAGCCTGTGTATCAAGCCACGTAGGTCCTGAGCTTGGCAAATCCCATGCCCAGCGACAATGGACTAGATAGATCCTGAAACCGTATGGTCATCACACATATTAATCTTGATTGGGTCTATCCCATTACCAGTAACAGTGGATGATGATACTTAGAAAAGGGCTTGTTCCAACATAGTGATAATTTGATAATTGTTTGCCGACTGTTACAGGTAATAGGACAGACCCAACATATTCTCTAATCTGAAGATGACTTGACAGAATGAGGAAACTCACACAGGGACAATCAAAGAGCTTTGCAAAGCATCAGCGGCCAGCAAAACAAGGGGGCCCCGGGACCCGGGCGCAAGTTTTAAGGTAGGTATCGTTCATATAAATGGGATTGCTATTGTTCCTTTTCAATCTGTTGCTTAGGAAGGTATCGTCGAATTACATGTAAAGAAAACAACTTGTCCATTTCATGTGCTACGATGTGCTACGTAAGATTTGCAGTGGGCTTGCCAATGGTGAGTGTGGAAGCAAGATCTCCAAGAAGCGTTCAGTTCAGAACTGCTACTCAGTCGGGCCGAAAAGGTTCGGAGAGTGAGCGCGAAAAGGTTCGTCGATTGATTGCAAGTTCCCACAACCGGACGTCCTAGCCATGCAAGTGGCAACTGGCTTCCCAAGGCATCCAAACACGATATATGCGGTTGCGGGTATTGCTTGGTATCGTTTTGAGGCATCGCTGTCAGTACTGTGCCATGCCTTGCAGAATATGTGCAAAAAGGAAAGACCAAAGGTATCATAATCTATCTAGTTTCTACTTATGCGAAGGGATTGCTATAGTGTTCAAGGAAGATGAACACTTCCATGTTTTCCGAAAATGTGAGCTCTGACCTTTTGCACTTTGCTCACATGTTTTGATGAACATTATCTTCATCAGGAGTCGGCAGCTACAGTATTGGTTTCAAAGACACGAAAAACACAAAATAGTTTCTTGTTACTACTAGTAAGGCACTTGTTACTAGAAGCGATGCACTTGTTACTAGTAGCTTTTTTGTTTCTATCCAAATGGAGCGACGCACATAATGTTGACCTCATAACAATAAATGCCCCCTGAATAATGCTAAATTTTTCCAAACAAAAATAATAAATGCACCCTAAATAATGCTAAACTTTTTGGGATCTTGTTTTTGAATAATCTATTTTCTTTTCATTTCCTTTCATGTTCCTTTCATTTCTTTCCTTTCCTTCAATCTCCTTTCCTTTCCTTTCATTTCCAATTCAAATCAAGATTTTCTAGGATTTTTCTGGATTTCACATTATTTGGGGCCCGCACTTGATCAAGGGGGGGGTTTATTGTTTAGAGGCGGACATTAATTACAATACCTTCCGCGCAAAACATTGCCCCCAGGTCCGCTCCAACACGCCAAACGGTCCTTCAAAACCGGTTCGACTGTAAACCATAAACCGCTTCGGAGTCAGCCCAACTGCCAGGCTCGGCGTCCGGGGCCTATGGCCTATGCGTCCAGGGCAAGAATCCAGGAATGACTTCCGATCCTTCATGTCAGAGTCGGATGCGGCCACGTGTGGATAGTGATTGAGTCCCAGCTGTATGCCATGGGTGCAAAACCAAAGGAGTGCGATCGGCCACGGCGTCCTTGGCTGGGATGGGAGCACTTCATGTTGAGTGGTCTATGGTGTACACCTGCGTGTGTATGTCCAATCATGTGTCAAAGGGTCCGTTGTTCGCTTCCATGATTGTTGGTACTATGGTCAGCAGAACAGAACAAATCAACCGGAAAATGCTCCCTTCAGCAGCACACCGGTCTATTCCTTGTGCGAACTTGCTGGATCACCCCGGTGATCGGTGTGATATTGTCAAAATCACACAAGAATATTGATATATTGTTTAATGTATATATATATATTTGTATAAAATCACATACACAAATATTCTGTTCAGAGGAGAATTTTTTGTACAGTATATTGATGTAAATTGTATACTGATGTTATATATATATATGTGTGTGATATTGTTTTCCAGGCTTCCTTTCCGCTGCAGCTGTCACATCCATCAAGAACTTGTTGAGAGCTGCATCCAAAGCATTCTTCGGGACATACTCAGGATACTCCTCATCACTCTCCTCATCTGACGGGGATAGCACCTCAGCAATGCTGACTTTAGGCCTATAAGTACCATACACTTTCGGGTTTTGGCTGGTCCAATTACAGAAAAAACAATGAAGATCAATGAAGAATGTATTTCAGCCCTGAAAAGGAAAAGGTACAGCAAGCTGGGTCAACGGGGAGGTTTCCCCGGAAATCAAACGTTTGCGACCACGGCACAGGGTTCCCCGCGGGGTGAGGGGGGGTCTGGGGACAGTTTCGTTCGTGTTAGTAGTTGCGCAAGCCGAACTTCACGTTTCTTTGCCGGCGTCGTGATGTTGCATTCGCGGTTACAGAAACTTGACTTTTGCGTTGCGATGCGAAGCTGCAACGAGAGCACGTTGAAGGCCTCGCAGCATTATGGCTACAGGCTGTGAAAATACACAGAGAGGCTGTGCAAGACAGTTGTCCGCCAGCTCCAATGTACAGTGAGCTGGCATGGCTCAATTGGGAAGAGGACTGATGTCGTGGCGCATGGGACTGACTGGTCTTTGGATGGTCTTAAGAATGCACTCAAGTTATCGTCTTGGAGTTAGTGAACTCCAAGACGATAAGTTAAGTGTCCCGAAACCCCAAATACCCTGTAAAACGCATTGTTTTCTGGCCCTCTGCATGTTGCAGTCCGGGCAAACCCCTCCGTTTACTCAGCAACTGTAACTAGACATGTTCAATCATTTCATAGTACTACCATAATCCAGTAAAAATGGTGAGACTAGTTTAAAAGGACTTGGGGCACCGAGAAAATACGGTGAAAGAGCGAATAATATGAGTGAAGGTTCAGCGGAGTGTCCCAACCCAACTGCCCTTGACAAGGCATTTGCATTGACGGAAGCCCACTCGAAACACCACCAAAGACACACGACCGAGTCTGTCCAACTGGCCACATCTGTCTGAACCCTTTCGCCATCAGTCTGTACAGTACCATCCCGCCTGAAATCCCAGTCTGGTCAATGCTGGTCGGATCTTCACTCGATCAATGCTCGCCCCCTTCAAGTCATGGAAATTGTCGAACTTCGACATGCAAGCAATGAAGGCCCAACGCTCCTCCTCCGCCATGGCGCGTGAGTGAGGCGCCTCGACCGGGAAGCGGCGCGGGACTTCACATATGGCGGAAGCCCAAGCACGCGCAAAAGGCGCGGTCTTGAACACTTTCCCAGACTCGCGGGTGAAAAAGAGGACATCTATGATGAGCAAAGCGATGCAAAGGGGATTCGAGTCTGTGTAACACCCCCATGAGTTCATTTAGAGTTCATGAATGCGGAGACTGTATGCGACTGAACTGAACTTCCTCACCCAAATTCAGGTCGATTCCCCTAAGCCTCAAACGAGCAGGCTCTCTTCATAGAAAACAAGCTTAGGACAGTTTGCCAATACAAACATGTGAAGAACAGTGCATTTTCAAGTTGCGCGTGGTACTCATCTACTCATCTACCTCCAAAATCACTGCTGAGCTCGATATAGGTTGTCGAGGTCTTTCAGCTTTCCCATGAAGCAGCTTGTAATTACCACTTCTACATCTTCTTCTCCATAGCTCTGTTTAACATGTTTAACTTGCAGTGCCCTTCCCACCAAACCCTGGAGCATCGCTCCAGTCCCGACCACGGAACTTCCCATCCAAGCACTCTTGGTGCCACCGGACGTCGGACCGTTCCATGCGAGACGTCGGACGGACCGAGCGCCTGGTCGACCGGATCGGTGGATGGCCATGACCAGATCCACTGAAAAGCCCCATTCCACTGGGTCTGGTGCCGTAATCAGCTCCTTCACCTTGTTGGTCGTCCAAGGGTTTCTGCAGCAGCTCCGGAACAGTGAACCGCGTGGGGCTGGTGGGGCTGGAGTTCAGAAGACGGGCCATGGAAAGGCATCTCTCAATATCTCTATACCCAAACACGACCTGTCTGGGACTGCCATAGGACGGCCGATCAGTTGGGATGGTGCCAGTGTCAGGGGGGTCAATTAATGTAGGTGATATATGGCAGTCACATGGAGTGTTTGAGATGGATCCACAGTGGGTGATCTCAAACTGACATCACTAGTTGTCGTCGATGTGGGGTTTGATTGGTGACAGCGAGTACCCCGGCGATGACCCTGATGAGACATGGGTGGTGTTGCTTCGGTAATTACCCGGAAGACGGCGCTGGCTGCCTCTCTATATGACCTTCATGTGTGGAGCAGATCTACGGAAGCTCTCATCGTGGGGACCAACAAAAATGACCAAGTTGACAAAGTTGTGTGACCTGACTTGGCCCGGGCAACACTCCAGCTTACGAGATACTGCGAGTATGTACACCCAGATGTGCCTGGTTGATTTAGACAGGACCTTGCAAACATCCACATCACCCCACAGATCTACCTTCTCAGGTTCGGTACGACTGGACCCGACAATGGCGCCTAAAAACAAGCCGAGTCTCCTATCACCTTGCAAGGTTCGGTACGTGGATCCTTCAGTTCTGTTGACACGAAAACAACACGTCTCTGAACGGTCTGCGCCGGTGCACCGGCAGTGCAAACCCTCGTTTGATCATCGACACCGGGGCTCTGTTTTTCTCCGGGGGTGATGTAGCCTTAGTGACCCCTCCACATCCTTTTTTCACCTCCGCCCGGGCTCTGTAACTCCTGGGCTCTGCGTGAGAAACTATCAATTCGGACCAAGTGTGATTGCACGTGCCTCTGAAACTCTCAGAACACGACCAGCACCACCCAAAGGGTGGTTTATAGACCCCCTGAAGATGTATTTTCCATCTAATAACCACCCTTTGGGTGGTGCGGTATGAAACTGTGTAAATTGATGTGCCCCTGAAACCGCAGAGTTTCAGAGAGTATGCTACAGTCATGGTGACCCAGGTTTATCACTTCCGGAGGAAGGGTCAATGAAGGGTCCCTGCAAGCACTCACTTCAATCACCTTCAACCCTCCGGTCAGGAATTCCTCCACCCAATCCCTGACCCACCCCCCTCCTATCTCTCTCACCGCTCTCTTTCGCACCTTGCCACTGGCGATCCTGGAGTGAAGCAGGGCCACCACACGAGCTAAGGCCTGGCCGAGACGCTGCTCTCCACTTTCGATGCTACGGACGCCTCTGCTAAGCCACACGTCGTTCAAACGGGCGACCAGAACCCGGAGATGCAAATGGTACAGGCACCAAGGATGTACACCGTTTTTTTGGACTTCCGAGTGCATTCAGTCTATGCCGAAAACCGAAAGCTACCGGTGGCCCTCGCCACGCCGACTTAAGGCACACTTTTCATGGACCAGTGCATGGTGTTCATCGCCCAGAAATGCCTAGGCATTTTGTCATTCTATATGCGGTATTGCTAAAGAAATCGGTCACAATTCCCCACAGATCAACAAATTGATTAATACCCCCAACAGATCAAAAACCCAAACACCTCAAACATCCCCAAACATCGTTCTTCACACACCTGAAAAAGCGGGCTCCGGCTCCCCAGGGTGGTTTTCAAACAAAATAACACCCCGTGGCCTCCAGGAATTCCACGAAGCTGAGCTGGAGAGTACCTGTCGAGACGGTCTGATGGTCCGTTTGCTCGTGGTATCTGTCGAGTGAGAGATGGTCGTTCGAGTTTGCTACGAACAAATAAGCTGGTGTACTACTGTTACTGTACTACAATTTTGCTACGCCTGCATGCTCTATGCAGCCCTCTGAGAGGGTGATCTGTTTAAGACTTTTTATGTATAGGCACAGGGTGATGTGTTCGTAGCTTTTCTCTGAAGGTCTTTGGATCAGCCGAGGGTGGGATGGATTCAGCTCCACTGGATGGGTCTACGGAAGCGAACCAATGCGGAAGAATCGCTTTTGGACAGAAGGTCCACGGAGCCCTATTTGGGCCGAAGGGCGTGGGCACCGAGCTCTCAGAGTTCCTGAGTTCTGGGGCGTCCCAGCTCGACTTGTTTTCAACAGCCAACAAGTCGCGACTCTAGCCTCAGAGCTTTGTCGGCTCCAGCCTCCAGCCCTACAAAACGAAGCCGTTTCACTGAGGCTCTCAACTTCTTAAATACTGTTTCTCTATTTTGTAAGTCTTTGTGGGTGAATCATTTTAGTGAATCTCTACATCTCCCAGCGCCCCTAAGTCGGGAAGCCAGCCACCCAAACGAAGAGCTATGTGTCCTAGGCCAGGAGACTCCCCTTTGGGCTCAAAACGTGGCACTGCACCATGTGCCTTCCAGAAACGAAAGGAACTCCCTGTCACCGCACTATACAGATCTATACAGCCTGGTGCAGCACCACCCGGCTAGATGATATGGCTAGATTCGGCTAGATTCTTCGAAGGCAAGTACGCTGAGAGCAAGGCAAGAATGCTGACGAACCTGCGCAGGGAAGCAAAGTGCTCTGCTGTTCTAGGTTGCAAAGAAGGCTGGCCCCAACCAACCAGCCGGCTCCCTTGTCTCTTGGATGCGATTGAAAGGCAGCTCCAATTTCAGGTCCAAGAGAGACAGCGAAGTGGTAAAGGACATGTTGAGTTCTCGCCCCACGTCAACCAGGCTGATCAGTATCTGGTCGTCAGCTCCCCGGTGTTGGGCGCCTTCGTCGCCGATCTTCGAACTCGGTGAACTCGCAACCGGTCGCCCGTTTTGGAGACGCCATCCAAACGGATGCGACGAAGGAATCGCAGGAATCGCAGCCGAACCGAACTCTTACTCCCTATATAGTGTATGACTCTTGATTGATCACCCTCCCCATGCTGATTGAACAAACTCTTCATGTGGGGGGGTTTAAGAGTCCTACACTAACCATAACGAAGCGAACGACCGCGGCACGACCGACCGCGGACCGGGCGGGGTTCGGGTCACGGGGATTGTTCAGCTCATCGACCTGCGACATGGCTGCAGCTTGCCAGGCCCAAACCTCGTGAAGCGCAGCTGCGCGCCGTGATCATGGTTTGCTGGGGAGAAAAAGAATTCCAAGCATCAAACCCACAAAAAAAGATAAGTCAACACCTTCAGGATCATTACCCTCTGAGAAGGTATATAGTTGGACCCATCAAACTTTGCGAATCGGTGATTCCCCAAGGGCTTATTGGTCCATTTTTACAGCTGTTAAGGCCAGGCTGCTATCGATACCCTCCTTGAGGAAGGGACCTCTTCCACCGTCGGTCTAGCTCTGAACGAAACCACGGTCCACGGTCGGCCGCGACGCAGACCGGACCGATCAGGTGAGGACCGATATGTGTCCAACAGTGGCCACGAACGGGCTTGACTTGTTGAGACGGTTTCGCCTATACGGACTGACGATGTGGTCGCCACAGTCGTTGCCATGTACCGGGCTTGGAGCAGCTACCAATGAAGGCCGAGGCAGGACCACCGAAACCTGGCTTCACTGCTCTGCCATCCTTTTGGCAAGTACCAAAACGACCCGCGGAAAGATGTGAACAACATGGAACAACTTTACAGTTTTCACTGAAAGTCGGACCTGTTCTTGCAACACATTCGTTCAGCTTTGAGTTTCATGTCACGTCCAATCCTCACATATCCCCAAACATGACCAAACCAAACCACCGAGTACAACCACCCAAACATTGGTACCATTGATGTGCTGTAACACATCTTTGACCGTTTTACTCAACAACCTCCTATTTTAAAATGGGTCTTTGAAGGCCACAGAGGGCGTAGTTGATCTACGCTTCCAGAAAAAAATGCTGGAGTTCCCGGAGCCATCCGGTGCCCAACAAAACCCCTCCAGGGTGAAAACACCCCGACCACGGCAGCGAGTCCTCACGCACTCGCCGAGATGCCCGGTCCCAGGCGTGCATTTGCGCATGCTCCAGGGTCGGCGTGCAGGGAAAGACCTGCCATCTTGAGCGAAAGACGGCCGTCACCGATATCCGATGGTGGCCCGCAATGCTATGTTTCTGGTGTCATCCCCTGCGAGAACCCTTCAACCAATCTGGGATTGCCGCTTTCAACCCCGCGCGGCACGTCTTCAGAGGAGCGCCCAACTTCCGGCCAGCGGCCTCCATGGCGTCCAGCATGCGAAACCAGTCCTCCGCTGTGGGTGTCGTGATCTTCAGAACACGAAGGAACTCTGCATCCAACTGGTGTCACGTCAGCTTTTGAGCTCATCCAGTTCTGGACTCTCTAAGTCTCTAAGTTCGTCCTTGGAGTCTCGACTAGTCTATAGGTGGCGTGTGTTTAGACACTGGCC